CTGCAGGTGGTTCACTCCGTTGCCTCCCCTCTGTGGGAGAGCTGGACCTGTCCTGTAACAAACTTCTAGCTGGTGGACTGAGCCGCCTCACCTTTCACCTGGCTCACGTCACACACCTGGAGAGACTCGACCTCCACCTGTGTTGCCTCACGCGAGATGATCTAGAGGCTCTGAGTGAGTTGCTACGAATCTCACCTGCCGGACAGTAATCACATGCACGCTGCAGCAGTCATGTGACTCGTTGTTTTTCAGTCCAGGTGCTGCCCTCTCTCACTGCACTGACGGAGCTTGATGTGTCATCCAATAAGGAAGTGGGAGGCGTGGTCCACTCGCTGGTCTCCGCCCTCCCTGTGACACAAATGAGGCGGCTGCCATTCAACAGCTGCTACCTGAGCAACGAGTCCTTCACTGCTCTGGGTAACACACACACACACACACACACTTGTTTAGTTGTAGAAGTTTTCCTCTCCTCTACCTCTTCCACCCTCTAGCCTGAAATGGTGAAACTTTGTGTTTATGCATCAGCCCTGGCGGTGCCCTATCTGCGCACGGTGGATATTTCCTGGTGTAAAGTGGTTGGCGGTCACTTGGCGCTCCTGCTGGATGCTCTGCAGCCATCAGTCGTCAGCGAGCTCCATCTTTGCAGCTGCGAGCTCACTACTGATGACATGCAACATCTGGGTAACTAACACACAATGACATTATACTTTTTCTTTTCTGGTCTGTAGTGGATCATTAGGCTACATAAATGTATATAAAGACAAGTAAAGCCTGAAGGAAATTGATATTTCTTTCATTTATTTCATGCTTTCAGCATCTGTAGCTGTCGTATAAAACGTTGTCGTGTTATTTTTGTCTCCATCAGAAACATTGTGAACAAAACAGTAAAGTGAACAGGCATAAAGTGATCAGTTATCAATGGGTCCTCTTCCTCTGTGCAGCTGCCGTGTGCAGACGGGGCTGTCTCTCCTCACTCCGTGCACTGGATCTGTCCTACAACAGCTCGGTGGGAGACAACGGTTGGTGCAGTCTGTTTGCAGCAGGAGGTCTGGGCTCTCTGGAAGACGTGGATGTCAGTTTGCGACCTTCAACCTCTGCTCCGTGCTCAGCCTGGCTGCCCGCTCTGCTCCGAGCTCTGCCTCAAATGCCGGCGCTGGCTCGACTGGCCGTGCAGAGGTGGACAGCTGACTGTCAGGAGGGAGAGCAGCTGAGGTACTGTCTGAAGAAGAGGAGCGTCCTGCTGGAATGGGATCCAGATTTACAAGACACATCATCAGCATGTAAAGGGAACAGTCAGGAGAGCCTAGAAGAGAGTCAGCCTGAGGAGTAGGGAGCAGAAAGCCTGAGTTATCTGATCTCAAATTAAAAATCATCACAGAGAGATTTCAAAAGAGCACTAGGGAAGAAAAACGCAATCAGGTCTGAAAAACCTTCTGATTACAAGTAAATTTGTCCAAACATTTGTACAATGTGACCAGCTGGGACGGGTCCTCCGGGACTGACCTTGAGTTTTACAATGTTGAATTCTTTGTTAGGTGTTTACGGTATCGTTTAATACTCTTCTTTTATTCTTGAGCATGTTTGGAGTCTTTATTCCGTGGGGTTTATCCCTGTGTCTGTTTCCCTGTTGAGTTCGATATTCACACCGGATATGTCCCATTTTATTTTGGCGGTCAACTGTCAGAAACATTTCATGTTTAGTTTTACGTCCCTCTCCTCTCTCATTGTCATTGATCACCTGTTTTGTTGGCTTTCTGTGTTTAAATGGTGGTGTCTTCTGTTTATGAAGGACAGTGGAATTAATTTGCTTTTTAATCTCATGAACTTTATCATTCT